ATGGCAATACAAGCATGCCAATACTTAATCTAATTTTCCCTACACTTGTTATAAGCTTCGGCACATTTTAGCTTTTGTTGGTTTCGGCGCATTTTTAGAACACCATTCACTAGATTGTTGGACAGTTTCGACGTTTATTTAAAAAGCTACTCGGTACCAGTACCTGCCTTGTCAAATATCTCTTTCGCGACATATACTCGATTTCATTTTGCAAAAGATTCAGGTCTTTTCGTACGAGTCTAACATTAGCACGCCTCATACTCAAAACATTAACCAAATTGTGTTGAATCGATCCATAAGAGAGGTTAAGATCCTTTGCTATCTCTCTGATGCCATCACGACAATTTTCAAGCACTGTTTCTTTAACTGTTTCGATTTTATCGTTATTAAACGGATAGCGGCATGAACTTCAGAAAGTTTTTGAAGTGTCGAAAAATAGGCAATTAATATTACTACTATCTATTTTTTTATTAGTTATTTATTAACATTACAAGGATAAACAAAAAAAATACAAAAATAAAGAACGTAAAAAAGTTCAAAAATTATCAGCTGATGAAGTGGAGGGTCTCAAAATATTGGCATCTGACCATACCCTCGATTTTAACCCTCGCAAAACAAAAAAAAAAAATATTAATCTAGGGATAATGCCCCCAATGTCTGCTTCTACTGAAAAGTTGGAAAACTTTGCTTGATTGTTTCGAATTTTTCAAAACCAGTAAAAGTTGAAATTTGGGGATATAGATCATTTCAAGTCTGTAAAAAACACTTTTTAAAAATGATAGGTAAATGGGTCCAGCAGAACCTGAGAAATCGTGGCTATCGCTTTGAAAAAGACAGTTTCGATAAAAACATGTATGCAATATTTCCAAAGATTCTGTAGCCGTGATTTGATTGACATACAAAATTTCAAACAACTGTTCAATTATTTTTTCCAAAATCCAAAAATCGCTAGACAAACTGTTCGCGTCGTAAGCAAATAGCTGCCAAATAAACAAAGATCCGTGGGCAGCATAAATGCACAAGACCGAGTCAAATTTGATCAGATGTTTTTTTGGGAAAAGATTCCCAAATTTTAGTATAATGTTAGCACAATGTTCTCCCTTATTTACATGGAAAATAAATAAGTTCTCTAAAGTGGAAGTCTTTGACGAACGATCGCTTAATTTTTTCTTTACTGCGCGCTATTACTACCTAATTTCTTTTCTCCTTTATTAATCTTAAAAAACGTTAGCATCTGGTTTTAATGGTGACATTAAACTTTTATGTTGCAATGCATACAAACATACTTACTTAAATGAAACATAATGACACATAACTCACCACGCATGCTTTTCGATGTATTAGCCGCACTTCGGTCGGTCATTGCTGCTACAAAACTATTCCAAATACTGTTGTTGTGTGCTTATACTCGCCGGCTGACCACCAAATAGTCGCGGTAATTAAATTTCCTTTCAAATGAGCAACCAAAAGGTGAATGAATAAACAACAGCTTTGAATATATTGAATTCGCTCATAGTTTTTTTTTTACATTTTTTCGACTTTCTTTATTTATTTTGTTGACAATAGCATGCATATGTATATGAGCGTCTAATATACACATGCAGATAACAGGTTGGTACAACATTACCCATACGCCATGTACGACATGTAGGCTACCCACTAGCGGCGCTATGAATGTTCAACCGGCTGGCTGGCTGGTTGGCTAAAGCAGATGCGTCGCATCTCACCGATTTTCGCAAGTGGAAAGTGACATTCCTCTCACTCAGCATGCACAACACACACACACACACACATACAAAATAATATAAAAAATTATATTTAAATAAATTCAGTTGCACACACATACACATATATGCATATTTAAAAACATAGCTGCTAATCTTTAACGGTGCATATGTGTGTCGTTGCGTATTGGAAGTGGTATATGTGGCTTGAGGCCAAGTAAGCTTGCGGCATATTCTTCTTCTTTTCTTTATGAATTTCATTTATTTTTTTCTTTTCTATTTACATGCATCTTGTTTCGTGTCTCACTGAGCTTCTTCATTCGTCTTCATGTTTACATACATAAATATAATATATGCATATATTATGTAGCTACAAGTATGTATACATGTAGTCATGTCTATTTAGGCGCCTTCAGTTGCACATCTGCATTTGCTACAGATTTATTGAATTTTCTTCGTGTTTTATTTTGTTCGCGTACGCAGTAGCGCCAGTTCAATATCGTATCGGATCGGTCGGTCGGTCGGTCAATGAGTAGACTTGTAGCCTGTAGCCATAACTAACTGTGCGTATCCAGTTAGTTATTTCATGACTGTTAGCATTGTGTCGTCGTTGTCGTGGCACGTTGCACGCGCTTAGCGGACGGATTGTCACACACATACCTGTCTGTCACATACAATAAAATGTTCATTTGATTAGATTTGATTCGTCGTTGTATCACGTGTTGTCAAAAAGCAAATACAGTTTTATTAATAAGTAAATGCCGCTTAATACTCAAATGTGAAGTAAAAATCAAGAAAATTATAATTACTAAAATATATACAAAAATATATAATACTGATTCCTATAAGTGAGTTTCTGTGCTATTCACAATAAAATATGTTTAACTCATGTTTAAATTCATCGTAAATATTGGAATATTCTGGCCTTTGGACTTTGACCTTTAGTATCAATTTTGGAATAAAATCACAGTTTTCATTGTACGAAGTAGCTAATTTGAATGCTTTTACTATGAAAATTTAATTTATGAACTACAAGTTTTTTTTTAGATATTTAACTAATTAAAACTAAAAATTGGTTTAGCGATTCGGAAGCAAAAATTTAACTAATATTTTTCTTTTTACCAAGAAACCGTAACATATACCAGCTAATCAAATTTGACACAGACTAAAAATAAAAAATACATTTTCACGTATTTTAATACAAAACTTTATTATCGCAACTAGGCTTCTTTTCAGCCAGCACAAACAAACTCACACTAATTGACATATGGAGATCAAACTTCACACTAATATAAAATATAAAAAAAGGTGGTACCAAGCTAGACATTTTATTTATCGATTTGATTTGCGCGCCAAGTTTAAACAGACTAGTCCGGTTCAAATTCGAACAGAAGGTATAAAGCGATAACTAAAGAAAAACTGTATGAAAATATCATAAAAGCAGTTCGTATTAGAAAACAAAATCAATATCGAAAATTAAACAAATCAAAACCCTAACAGCTTCTAACAAGATCGGTAAAATTTCGAATGTTGTGAAATATTAGGCGTGTGATTGCGTTAGAATAGCCGTACTTGGGCAGAAATTGTTGCCTACATTTAGGGAGATATAACATGAGTTTGATGTTGCAGATAAAAACGAACTTCACAGAGCATAATCATCATGTTATTATTTACTTATCTATACGTACACGCATAGGGTTATAACATAGTAGTCTATGCATACCTTTAAACTTCACGCTCATTATTAATGCGTCAGCTATGCAGCTTGAAGAGTAAGCTCATTCATTGAAGTTCTTCTTCATATTCGTGTTGGTGTTAATGCTTAGCAGTGGCTAATTTTTTTCTTTTGTTGTTGTGCCTGTCACATTGTTGAGACCTTATCTCTGCATCAATTCACAGCCACTATTGCCTTCATGAGAGTTAAATATGCATATGAATGTGTATGTGTGCATGTAGCAGCAGCTGGCTTGTTTGTATTATCAATTGCCTACAAACTAAATTGCTCACTTCGTGTTTTGTTTGTTGTATTTGGCTTAAGTCGTCTACCATTCAGTTAGTGGAAGGCTATAGAATATGCTGCTTACTTATACATACGCGAGTAGTATTGTTTTTGTAGTGAAAATAGAAAGTGGTCCTCGTGGTGCTCTCACTTTGTCGTTACAACGCGCATTTGATTTGTGCAACGGTAAATTTTTCAACGTATTCACAATGTGAATGCCAAACCGCAAATCTTGATTTGAGCTAAGAAAAATATTCGCAATTGATTACATATACTGTATGTAATGTATATATACACACATACTAAAATATAGATGAGAGATAATATAGGAAAAAATTATGTTTTGAGATTTTTCAAATAGTTGAAGCTGCATGCATTTTTAATTAAAGCGCTCAACTAAGGGAAAACCTCTCATCAAAACATAAAATTTCGAAAATGTTACCTTAGCAACTCAGTTACTGTTGTTGAAACCAAAATTGTTTTGAGATCAGACAAAAAGAATATATAATTATTTGGATAGGTTGTCTGTAATATGTATTGACCTTTCTTTAGTGAATACAATATATATATTATTTTTTTAATTTAAAATGTACCATAATCTGATGAAATTGCATCTCTGGCAGAAATAAACCTTGGTTTTTAAATACCGCTACAACTCTGCCAGGCCTTTTTCTCTCTTTTTTACACTTTTTTGAACATAAAAATACTCTTATTAAAAAAATATATTTTCAAGTAATAACGCCAAGGCTTATAATCTAATCTTCTATATTTATACCTAACTTAGTAACTTGCAATTATTTTAATTATAATTATATTACTATTTTCATTACTTTTATTTCAAATTTACGATTATTACTAACATTTTCTCTCTTGTTTGCTTTTTATTTCAGTTAACTCTTTAAACGGTGCGGTGGTTTCCTTCCGCCTCGCAGTCGGGTATATGTGCATGTCGGAGAAGTACAGCTAAAACTTGAACAAAGCCTACAATTACACATAAAAATTATAATAAATCTCAACAAAACCAAAACACAGTAAAACCAACAAAATGGGGCGACAATTGCGGCCTTCTGTGCTCGCAACTTTATTCTGTTTAGTGTTCATAGCTAAGGTGAGTATAACATTTGTTAACACATTTACCGAGCCGATGACTATTCAAGGGAAACATTCTACAAATTGATATAGAAAAATTACAAAAAACATGTAACATTTGAAAATTGTCGAAATTCATTTTTCCGAAAAGCAATAAATTTGCTTTAAAAGTTTAACATGAAGTGCATTAAGTGAATGGATAGTACTTAAAAACAAATCAATAAAAATTATCAGCGTAGTTTCCTACTGTGTGATAAATTAAAAATTTCTACGAAGCCTTTTAAGTCACTTATCTATGCGCAATCAAACTTGGGCTACCGGATTAAAACACGAAACTATTTTTTGCGCAGAACTTTATTAGATTCAATAAAATGTCTCACACAAGTAAATGAGAAATGTAAATCAATAACGTAGATTACAAAAGCTAAAGATAATAAGCCAAAATAGTCTTATAGATGGTTCTAGCAGCGCAATTGATATTGGAATCAGTACCGGTGGACCAAAATGCGTTCATCTCTCCGTTCAAGCGACCAATCCTATATACATGCTTTTTGTATATACAGATGTACAGTTCTTAGCCATGTAACTATGTACATTAGAGTGTGTTATACTCTATTGACGAACCGAGATTAGGGACGTGTTTCACAATGTTAGTATGCATCTAAGTTTATTATAGCCAGAACAGGAATTTAGTATTTTGAAACACCCAGAAGAAAACATCGGAGAACTGATAAAGTATATATATATAAATTATCAGCATAACGAACTGAGTCGATTTAGCTAAGTCCGCCTGTCTGTCCGACCGTCTGTCTGTATATACGCAAACTAGTCCCTCAATTTTTGAGATATCGATTTTAAATATTGCACAATATACTGATGATATCGTGCCACTATTGGATATACATAGCTGCCTACAAATTGAACGATTAAAAACTAGATCTTGTATGGAAAATATTTTTATTTTACAAGATATCGATCGAGATAGAGATCTTCATAAAAGATTTTTTTCCTTATTAAGGGACCTTAAATCGACTTGAGCGTTATTTATATCAAACAGCATGCCTAGTAGAAGGAATTTGTAAACATTTTTTCATTGGATGCGATCCGTTGGCCGGTTACATTTTCAGATTTAGTTAATACAGTTGCTATAAAAAATGCACCTGAGCAGGGTATTATATCTTTGGTACAGCCGGAGTTAACGTTTTTTCTTGTTTTTCTATATGTTTGAACTCCGTAAAATAGCCAAGAATAACGGCAGATAGCAGAAGCGGCAAAATGAGATTGTTCTGTGATATATTATCATATATGTACATTTGTATGTGCGTTTGCTTGTATGCAAATAAGCATAAGCACTTCAAATAAAAATACTCAATATTTATCTATAAACATGCAAAAATTTCATCCGTAATTCAGTAGACACGAAAATAGATTTATAGAGAATTATTATTCTAATTGGTAACAAACAAATACAAAAAAAATTTACAATTACGCTCAAGCCAACATTTGTTTATTTTATTTTATTAACTTTTTATTAAGTTTCATTTTATTTTTCATGTCTCAGATGTATTTATACACAAAATACCATTTTATTGTATATATACAGACAAACGCATGCACAGATTCACATTTTTTCATAGATTACTTGCCGGTTTTGCCATTCGTTTATTCGTTGAGTTGCTTAGCGCCACAGTGCAGTTATGCTCTAATTTTTACAAGTTTTGACTTTCTTCTGCAGATATTTTTCGCGCTTTATTAATCACAAGTCCAGCTCAGACTCTTTCAGTATTTTATTTGTGATTTCATACATTTACAAGCTCGTACATGTGTGTATGCATGTACTCGTGTATACTTGTATGTATGTATTTTTGTCCTTATTTTGTTAATTATTATTTAGGCACGCAAGCGGCAATTGAGAAATTCATACATTTAAGACATTTTCTGTCTTCTTTCGAAATGTTCAATGATTTATGATGGTATAAGAGCCCGATCAGTTATTTGCCGCAGTGCTCTATGGTTGGTATCTGTGCTTTTGCACTTGTTGTTGTTGTTTTAGTATTTTTTATAGTCAACGCGTTCCTCCTCTCCATCGTTAAAATGTGAGAATCGATAAATGAGTCCAAATAATGTTTTTCAAATCAAGAAAGTCCAGAGATAATTGAAAAAATAGTTCTTCCGATGCCTTTCAGCACTACTACAAAAGTCATTTTTCATTATTGACTGTGTGCGAATGGATTCTAAAGTAAACAATATAAAAGCAAAAAAAAAAAAATTATAGGCCTTTTCTCCATTTATGATATTAAATTTACGAGTTTTTGGTATTTTCAATTAAACAAAAAAAAAAAACACGTTAACGGAAGCTATAATACCCTTTACAAATAAAAATGTTACCCTACAAGAACTTGATTTTTATCGGTAAGTTTATAATAGCAGCTATATGCTATAGTGCTCCGATCTGAACAATTTGTTCGAAAATTTTACCGTTGCCTTGGCTAATACTCCATGCCAAGTTCTGTTAAGATATCTTGTCAAATAAAAACCTTTCCATACAAGAACTTGATTTTGATCGTTCAGTTTGTATGACAGCAATATTCTATAATGGTTCGGTATCGCCGGTTCCGACAAATGAGCAGCTTCTTGACGTTTGTCGCGCTGATCATTTATATATATTTATTATAGAGTCTCCAACGTTTCTTTGTTACAAACTTCGTGAAAAACTGAATATACCTCAGGGGATAACAAAGAATTTACTTCTCACTGTGGATTCATAGAAAAAGTAAACGAACTGCAAAAAGTGTCTTAATTGATTTAAAGGTACTTGTTGTTATTTCAAGGTGCCTCTTACCGTTTCTATGTTTCCGTTAGGACGACCACACTGATATGATTTTTAGAGTTTAGATCGAACACGCCACCTCAAATCTGCATTGGAAATTTATTCAAAAGCCTAAAACAAGTTATGAATATTAAAGTGATCATCATTTTGGTTCCAATAATACTTTCCATTTACGCAAATTAGGTGCATTTTTATGCATATGTATTTACTCACTTGTGTACTTATTGGTTTCGTATGCTTATGTAACGAGTTCTACCGAATTTGACTTTCGAAACTCACACCAAAGCACCATGGAACTCACAGCTTCCATTATTTCGGTTTTTTTCTCATAAATTTGCTTCTTTCGTTGCTTTGTTTTTTCAATTATCTTTGAAGCGCTCTTTCGCTCTAAACAACTTTCGATTTTAACATTCCGACATTTAAACCGAAATTTGTAACGCCATCCACAATTCATGCACACCCATACCACCAAAATGACAAGGTATTTTATGTGCGACTCACTTCTGCGCACATACATATTCATATATATATACATACATATGTGTTCATACGCCCGTATATTTGTAAGTATATGTGTGTTTAAGCGAACACACAAAAGTCACAACATCCGCTTCATTCGTACATTCCAGTAAAATTGTAACCGATTTCTTAACAAAATGTTTGGCGGAAATTTTCACTGTCAAAACAACAATGAACATCTCAGTCGACTTGCTACATATATATGTACTTGTATGTATTATTGTAGCTGCACACTTATGTGGTTATTGTTGTTGTAGTCTCAGCGCCAGTCACTTCGCATCGCCACCGTTACCGTATTTTTGGGCATTAACTCTTCGCGGGATACCCAGAAAGGGCTAAAAGTAAATGTTGTATAATACTTTTGTGTATTATGGTGGATCGTTTTGGGTAGAAACACATTAAGAGTATCAATAAAATGTAGTTAAATCGCATTTCTCGTACTTTTTAATATAAAAGAAATAATAAATAATAAAAAAATAAACTTTTAAGTTAATGTTAACTTCAAAATTTTTTGCTGATTATTTTAATCTTAAGACAATCGTGACCGTAATTCGATATTTTTATTATGTTACAAAAAATCGGTCTACCATAATGTTCACTTTTAGTTACATCTACTCATGTCTGCATATACTTTATAAACATATGTATATACATACTTGTATGACAAAAATACCTTTTGGGTTTTTACAGCGCTATATTTTTGTCAGTGCCCACCTCTTTCGCTTTAATTTGTTGATTGTTGTACCCACAAAAAAAGCTCGCATGCGTCTGTTAATCTGTTTTCGCGGTAGTAAGATTACCTGAAGCCTATAAAACGTTGCTGCGTACACAAACACACTAATGCACATAAAATCGTTTTTATTTATAGCGTAAAATCCAACTCAGTAAAATTAGTGTAGAGTGAAGCTTTTCGTTTCGTTGGCCGTTATGCAACTGAAAAAGGCGATTACAGCGCCTTTTGTTAACTCAAAGTTTGGGCTAAATGTATGTGACGCTGTGTTGAAGTCATGCTTTTTTTCCCCTTTTTTGGTGTTTTGTAACTTTTTCTTCAGCGAGGTGTAGCGAATTTGCCAAAGAAGCACCAAAATGCCGCACTAAAAGTATAAGATGTGTACATATGGTATTAACATGTATATATGTATGTGCTAATGTGTGTATATTCATGTATGAATACCCTTAAATGTGTTTCGATGTTATGGTGATTTAATCAAAAAATTATATCCATTTTGACAGTCAGCAAAATTTGATTTATGAATTACTCTTCTTCAACATATATGTATGTGAAGTATATAGTATATATTCACATGGTTATGCAACCATAATGACTTTGTCAAAAAGTTGACGTGTAGTCGCCCGAGTTTTTCCCTTCGAAACATATTGTAAAAAAATGGTATTTGTGCAGTGAATTGCTTTTAACGGCAGTCAACGCTGCGTTAACAGCTTAATCATATGAATTTGCATTGTAAATGCCTTGCATTAAGTAATTCTGATAAGATTTGCCAACAATTATTAATCCAATTACATACGAGTATTTATATATATATATATGTATATAAAAATACAAATTAATATAAATTTATGAATTTTATAGAGAGCAGATATATGTATATTATGGTGACCCCTTCCGGTCTTTATTGATTACTTTTCATCTAGTATGTATATAAACAGATATTGCATATTATCTAAATTTATAAAAGAGCCGAGAAATTAAAATAGTAATTTTCAAATGAGCCATGGAACAAAATACAGTAATATAGAGAAAGAGATCAATATAAAGTTTTTTTTTATAACTTTAATAAATTATATTTTTTAATAGACACCTATTGAAAAACATAAAACTAAAATAATAAAAAATTGAAAAATATTTTATAATTGTGAATTAAAAAAGAAAACACGTTAACTTTGGTTGCATCGAAGCTACTAAGCCCTTCAAAAATAAAAAAAAAGTTTCCGTACAAAAAGTTGCTGAATAATTTGTTCAAAGAGATTACGGTTACATCAGGCAATTATCCATGACAAATTTTGTGAAGATATCTTGTCAAATAAAAGAGTTTTCCATACAAGGACTTGATTTTGATCAGTCCGTTTGTATGACAGCTATAGTGTACCGCTAACGATTCCAACAAATGTGCTGCTTTATAGAGAGAAAAAGACGTGTGTAAGATTTCAGACGGACAGACGGACATGGCTAAATAAACTCAGCTCCTAACTTACTAGTAATCATTAAACAATTATATTTATTACATTTCTTTTTGCTTCATTTAGGACGTTGTCTGCGAAGGACCACACGTCGATTCAGCCTCCTTGCCGCTGGAACACAGATCCGTTTACGGTCCACCTGCACCATCGCCTGTTTACGGCGCTCAGCAAGGTCCCATACCCGCCGGAGTTAGCAACGAAATCTCCGACGAAGCTTGGCCACTCTCCGCCACCAATGATAGTCCACAAATCAAACATTTGCAGGTGCAATGCGAGAAGACACATATGCGTGTTAACATCGAATTCGATCGTCCTTTCTACGGTATGATCTTTTCGAAGGGCTTTTACAGCGATCCACACTGTGTGCATCTAAAACCTGGCACTGGTCATCTGAGCGCCACTTTTGAGATCTTCCTCAATAGTTGCGGCATGACAAGTTCGGCTAATCACAATGCGGCCGCTTATGGTGCGCCAACACCTTCGGGCAGTTATGTGGAGAATACGATTATCATACAGTATGATCCTTATGTGCAAGAGGTGTGGGATCAGGCCAGAAAATTGCGTTGCACATGGTACGATTTTTACGAAAAGGCCGTTACATTCCGTCCATTCCAAGTTGATATGCTGCATGCGGTTACTGCCAACTTCCTCGGCGATAATCTACAGTGTTGGATGCAAATTCAAGTAGGCAAAGGTCCGTGGGCTTCGGAAGTTTCAGGCATTGTGAAAATAGGTCAGACAATGACTATGGTTTTGGCTATTAAAGATGACGAGAACAAATTCGATATGCTAGTACGCAACTGTGTAGCTCACGATGGCAAACGTGCACCCATACAATTGGTCGATCAAAATGGTTGTGTTGTACGTCCAAAGATTATGAGCAAATTCCAGAAGATTAAGAATTTCGGGCCATCAGCGTCGGTTGTCAGTTTCGCCTACTTCCAAGCATTCAAATTCCCCGATTCTATGAATGTACACTTCCAGTGCGTAATACAAGTATGTCGCTACAATTGCCCCGAACCCAAGTGTGGACCAGGACTGCCAGGTGGTGAATACGGTGTACCACAGATTGGCAATAATGCGCTCTCGGCAGAATATGGCGCACCAGAAGCATATGATCGCAATGATTACTCATTAGGTGGTCTGCCTCCAGCCGCGTATCCAGATCCACGTCACCAAGCTGCTGATGCCACCGGTGCTTACTCTGAAAATCAACCCGATGTAGTGCCCTCACCTCAAGCACAAACTGCCGGCGTCACAACACCCGAGGCTGGACTACAAAGTTCACAAGCGACACCACAAAGCGCAAATGAATTGCATATGCCACCGCCACCATTACCTGGCCAACCTGGTCTATATAGCACTGTGAAGCGTAAAGACGACATCGAGGGTGGAAATCTAGTGTCACTAGGTGGACGTCCACGTTCTGTTGAAGGACTTGACGATTTGCGTGGCGTGCGTAGACGACGTGATACCATAGATATTGTGGTGAAACCACGAATCTACAAGCGAGACACGCAGGAGATGACCGACGTGAACACAAGCCGAACCATTCAAGTGGTAGCGCCTGGCGATGTCAACTTTGCGCTCAACAATAACTCCAACAACGAGACCGTTGTCATACAATCGGCACGATCAGCTGATCCTGAGACGATTTGTATGTCAGTACCGAGCTTCGTCGGTGGTCTAGTAATGCTGTTGTTGGTGCTAGCAGTAGCATCTCTAGTCGCTGCATTTCTCTTCGTGCGAGTACGGCATTTCGATCGGAAGGGTGCCTCCATGGCGTATGTTAACTAATTAAGGAAAATGTTCGATGCGCTAAGCGAATAATTCAACCACAATCACTGACTGCTATTACTCGCACTGTGAAAAGTAACGAAACACGGTGGAGTTGCCAGTCGGAAGTGGTTGGAGCAGACGAACTGACGCTTATACAGCAACGATATTTGTCATCACACATTGAATAACATCAAACCACATATAAAAGCTAGACCATACATACAAATGTACACAATCGAACGGTAAACAAATTAGATATCCGCCAAAACGTTCCTTTTGCAGATCGTGCGTACGTGTGTCTGTGTATGTGTATGGTACGTGGACGCAAAAACGAACGCACCTGTATTTATTTGCACGACTGCCACCGGTGGCGGAAACCGAATCGAACATGCAAATTTGGGGTGGGTGTAAACTCGTTGCGGCCCATTCTTCATCCCATCACCAAATCCGACGAACCTAACTTATATATATTACCCTGCTTCTAATTAATTTAATTTATTTATTTATTCTATCTACATATTGTACGAAACGTGAGAAATAAAGATCTGCTAAAGACACAGTCTCTTTAATATTATGTTGTTAGGCTACCCTAATAAATGCTTGAATAATTTCGACTCATCGCCTGGGGTGTGACGTACGTGGGTACGATGCTCCAGTTCAAATCAGTCGTTTAACCTAAGGTTCAATTTTAAAATAAAATATACATATATAAATATTAATCAGCAATTGATGAATTATACGATACGAAATAGAAAAGAGAAAGAATGCAAGAGAGAAGAGAGGAGCGAAAACAAAATCAAAAAATCTTACAAATAAGTTAATGTAGCAACTTGTGTATATATTAAATTATTTTTATTTAATAGACCTGAATAAATTTGTATTTGACATGAATGTGTTGTTGTTATTGCTTTTTATCATTTTTAAAATAGGGTATGGGATATTATGTTGGATCTGTTTGAGATATAAAGTATGGAGTTGAGGATCAGCTTGGGAGCTTAATTTGGAGACTCAAAAGTCATAGAAACAGTAAAGGTGAGATGCAGATAGAGCTGTTTAGACGATTAGAGCTTGGGAGCTGAGTGCATAAACTCTCACATTCCCGCAAAGAAACGTATAAGTATATTCTCTAACAGAAACGGATAAGAACTCCACATTTTCGATAATGTACCATACGCTGATAAAATAAATGTTAATTACGTATGATAAAGAAATTTACATATACCATCCGATCAAATTTGACCCGGACTGGTCGATTTCAGCTGCGTGCCCAAACTGAATCAACAAACAAATTTTCAACTAGATTGGCACAACCTTTTCAATTATTGTGTGTTTGGCAGCTGTTTGCTTACCACGCGAAGAATTGTCAGATTACGGAATCATTGAAAATGTTACAGAAGTATTTTGGGAAGTCCACTTAACCACGAACCCAAATGTTTGAGTGGCGCAAAGCATTCAGTGAAGGTCGTGAAGTCATCGAAATCTTGCCTCATGCGAATCGTCCACCCACCTCTGTTACTGATGATAACATCGAAATAGTTAAGTGCTTAAAAATCGTACCAAAAAACCTGAAACTTTTACAAAAACGACGTCGAGTAGTGGTCGCAAAAGAGCTTGCTTAAGAACGTAGATGGGGATTCAGCAATTCAGCAAACTCCTCACTACTGGTGACGAGACATGAGTTTAGGAAAATAAAATTAACCGAAACCGAAAAAATAAAATTCGTTGAAGGCACTGAAGCAATACCAGCCGAGACATTATAAATTGGATTAAGCGTTGGCCCGCTTGTTTTGGCTCAGGAGCCTTTTTTGGAGTCAAAATAAAGATTTGTGTTAAAATACGTGAAAATGTAGTTTTTTATAAATCCGGATCATAATTAATCAGATGGTATATAAGTTCCCTCAACAACCGGCTCAACGTATCGTGTCCTGTTCCACGTTTATATTCAGCTAGGGATTGTCAAAACGACAGGATATATCAAAATTATTTGCCGAATGTTTTTTCTCACTATAACAACAACAACATGCTAAGTACACATACAATTTATTTAAAAATCTGGTACAGTGTACAAATGTTTGATTTCACCCGAACTTAGCCCTCTTACTTATTTACTATCAGAAACTTTTGTTTATTACTACTATAATTAATGTATAATTAATTTATAAGAAATGGGTTATTAACTTAATTTGTTTTTAGAAGAAGTAATATGTGCATGTTCATTTAAATTAAAATCTTAACATACATACATGTGTGTATATATTTTCACGTACATATATTTATATATATGTACAGGCTTGTACATGCCAAGTATTATATACATTAATTTACGTAATAATAACTCAAATGTCAATATTCATTCAAGTATTTATGCACTCAATGGGCCTGTCTTCTTTATTATTCTTTATTAATCACACCCTAATAGAGATGTGAAGAACTCTTTATCAGTATATATCTATATATATATATACATATATGCTCAACAAAATGCATGAACAACAATAACAATCATATAGATAAGCAAGCATTTGAAGGTTATTGTTTACAACGATGTTGCAATTTCCTAATACATACCTTGTAGGGAAAATATCGTTTAATTTGTTTTTATAAATTGTAATGTAATTCACACCTTTTTCGTGAATTGAACTTGAATTCTTTTACAGTACGATACTTTGTTTCTATATCGAAAATGTAATCTTACAAATTTCTTTATCTACATCTGATAACGCATTATGTATGCAAATTCACCATAATTGCCGATATATAGTAGTAGGCAAAACAAAAAATAAAATAAAAAACATAATTGTATTAATAAAATGAATAAAAAATTCAAATTAATCGTACTATGTATTAAAAAATCAATACTAAAGCGATCTCACTTCCGGATATCTGTCAAAATAGTAAAGGGGTGTTAAGCAGTACATACAGAGAACGTATATCATTATATTTTACGTTCTCTGGTACATATGTACATTGGCTCGTAGTAAATTTGAAATCACGGACGATATGCTGTAATAAATATTAAAATCAAAAAAAAACTATTTTTTAATTTTCGCTTAAAGCAGATATTTATTTTATAAAAATAAGCAGTTAAAATTCTTCTAAATTTTTTGTTTACACTTACGTTGCTTTGTTCTTACTGGTTTAGTTTTCAGCGGGATTGGAAAAATTTAAACTACTATTTATAAGCGTACATATATACGTATGTTATGTATATATATAGACTTTAACAATATGCATTGGTTTATATACAAATATTATATTCATTTATGCAAGCAACATCCGGACAATCCGTCAATTTATTTGACGTAGACGCGGCGAACACATGTGTTGTCGTTGTTATCACAATGCTACATTATAATTTGTTTTATATATACAAGTACATAAAAGTGTTTATATGTTTAAGTAGTTAATTTGTTTCGTCAAGTGTGCAATTAGTTTAACAAGTGCTTAACCTTAGTTACGCACTGCGCGCGTCATTTATTGTCGCAGGCACACTTACAACCAGCCCATCCATATCCTTTGTAAGGGTTATTTGACAACCTAACCGTGAAGTTTCAGTAAGTTCGTAAGCTAAGTCCAACATATCTAATTCTTCATCACTAGCTTTATCTGGCAGTTTCTCGAAATCGGCTGATTTAAATATCAAATGACATGTTGAGCAGGTAAGAGTGCCTTCACATGCACCAAAACCGTCCAAATCGATGTGATTGTTAACCACCACATCCAATAAGGTATCCCCAACTTTTCCCTTTGTCTGTATTTTCTGGCCATTTGCGCGTAAAAATGTAACGTTCACACTATTTAAAAAATTAAATATTTATCAAAAATAAACATCTAATGTAAATATAAACGTAACTTACTCTTGGTGCAGTTGTATGCCGACAGAAAATGTTCGCAAACAATGTTGATTCGTTATCGAATTAAGACTAGCACATTTTTGCAGAAAACCAAAGTTGCTTGCATTTTTTGTGAAGCTTCTGGCACTTTTGCGTACGGCAGCATTAATGGTGCACCTGACTAAATTTTGGGCGAATGCCATATCACTTCGGTGGTGTTTGAAAGACTTATACGTTCTACTCGTTCGATATTGCAATCAAGCTCGGGTGTTGGCTGTCTTGCTGCGTTTTTTTATCAATAATATATAATATACAAATGTATTAATTGAACAAAAAACACTCGTTGAAGTGGGAGTACAATCAACTTATTTTGGAATCAAGTGCACGATACCTGATTACAGCAGAAAATTAAAACACAAACACACATTTACATATCGAAATTTACCACTGACATTTATGTGACAGTACAGCATATGTTGAAAAGGTTACCAGAAATAAAATTTGGCTTACATATTATTTTTCATCGTAAGAATATCCTATTACCATGCTGTATTAAATTATTAGAATTTTTGAAACTCAAATGTTAGAATTGAATCTTTATTTAATATAATATATTTATATTACGCTATAGTTCGAAGAGCTTGTAATATATTCCCGCACAATGACTTCTGTATAATTTTTTAACGGTAACTCAGTAATTGTTGTAGTTCTCCAAAACAGCTGTTAAATTTGTAGACTTCTAGCTTCAACCCTTTTACACGGATTGTTTTGTTTACACATATTTCAATTGATAAACATGTGCGATCTCTGGAACGAATTTGAATTAAAGAAGCCTCCGCAACTCACAGTGACTGTTGCAAGTAAGGATGCACCAAGTGGTAAGCCTTGTGACACTCTCATTTTATAAAATATAATTACATGTCATTTTTTACAGTGCGACGTTTGCAGACGACAATTCAACAATATTTTCGTCGTCATCGTCCTCAAGAAGTGGAGTTCGCCGAGACCTCTGCTCTTTTAGGAAGATTAATGGCACGTCGAAAGAACTCATTTCATGGCATGATGGGTTTTCGAGCGATTGCAAAATGTAATGCTGCTACATGTCGACTGCTCCGCATTGATCTCACGCGAGAACTTGAGCTTTTTCACGGATCTTTGCCTGATTTCGTGCTCAACTCCTCCGACACGATAGAGATGCCAACACAAAATAACTTCAATTATGTGCTAATACGTTTACTCAATACTCATGGGGTGTATGAGCGCATTCGCGAATGTTGCCTACAAGCCGCTGAATACTTCGCCAAATTGCTTCGTAATAACTTCTTCATGGATACAATCGTCCTCTTGTTAGCAGTCCTAGCAAAACTATATAGCCTGAGTGCATTGTTGGGTAATAAGTGTGTTGAACTTTACAACCAGTTGCGACCGATGCGCGTGAAATTTCCACTTTCAGAGAAAAGTGTGCACTGCGATATAAATATGCCAGAAAAATTGGAACATTTCTCAGAAAATCAAACGTTGGATATACCTCATACAGAGAGTACTTTCGTTAACACTCCAACAACAAATCCGCTGACAGCAGTACGATCTTCGAAGGCAATGAAAATGCTAAAACCCCTAGATGTGGGCACAGAGGTAAGCAGACCTACTAATCCCTCAACGCAGACGAAGACTTTCAATGCGGACGTAGTATTAGCGACCGTTGAAACGGCGAAACGTTTTATCCTAAGCGAAAATGTGTCACGGAAAAAGTCTCTAAAACAGAGCATAACTAAAGATATCATGCCTCATGAGTGGATGGGAGCGACACGTCTATTCGAAAGGAAATTATTATCTAATGATCACAAAAAAGCTTTAAGCATATTTAAAAAATTTATAGTAAACAAAATTTCGTAACATATATTATTCCGAACAAACTTATTATCCGCATACAGTGGACGATACAGTTCCAATCACTTTATGATTTTGTGGACGACATTTCTGCAAATATTTTTGTTTAAAACATGTGCATAATAAAATATTTTATTCATAAATATTAAAAAGTTGTACTTACTTTAACAAACTTTTTATAGTTTTTGGTTGCGGAATTTACATTAGAATCCTGTTTTCGAGGATTATTTGTAGTTCTGCTCCACGCGTTTTCGCGATTGCGTGTTCTTGCGTCCAGCGTGGTCACCACGAATCCTCCTTTACAAAGCTCAACATTATCTTTACTATCACCTTCTACACCTGAATCATTGTTTTCTCTTTTAACCGCGTCCACTTCATCCTTCATTTGATCGGGTTTGATACTTAAAGCGCTTAATGAACAATCAAGCCAATTGGACACACAAAATTTCGTTGGCAACGGTTTTGGTTTGGGCATAACTATTGACATTGAATTCTTTTTCTGAGATTGTGGTTGATTATTTAAATCGACGTCTATAATATTTTCCTCCTTATTAAGATCTTCAGATTCAGCACCGCCAAAATTAAACAGATCCTCTTCTGAATCGTTACCGTTATCATCAGCGCGTGCTCGTTTCGCAAAATTTGATTCTTCTTTTGTATTACTTTTTTCACCAAAGCAAAATAAATCATCATCATCGCTGTTATCTAAGACCGCAATACGAGCGCGTTTAGATCCCTGCTTCGATTTATCATTGTCAGTTGGTATATTTTGGCTCTCTGCATCTGTTTTCTGTATATTTAAATTTGGGGCATGTGACTTTTCTAGAAATCCCGACATATTAATCATCGTACGTCCAGTTGTCCTCTTATTTATTGCAATAGGCAATTGCTTATCGCAGGATTTAGGGGTTTTCTTTGCAGCGGCTGCAACAGATGTTGATGCACTCTCGTCAAGTGGTGAACTGTTCGATTTTTTCTGTTGCCTGGTTACACGCATAACTGGTGATTTGGTTTTATCTTCTAAATGTACCTTCTTAGCAGCAAAGTTGAATATATCATCTTCATCACTATTCATTTCATAATTGCCGTCATTACCGACATTTTGTTGATTTCCTCTTGTACGCTTTCGTTTATTAACTTCGTGTGCACTTACTTGAAGTGAAGACATCGCCACATCACTTGGCAATGAATCTTTTTGCCCAAACGTTTGTGATTCTATGGTTACTGAATCGGTTTGATCCACTCGGGATGCAGGGAGTTCAACACTGGATTTATCCGTCAAATGTGTGCTGGCTGTGCTTTTGGGATCAGTTTCCGGTATAAATACTTCTGTCTCGTCGCCTACTAAAGGATTCGAGCAATCGATTTGATTACCAGAGATTTGGATAGAATTCTGCAACGCATTAGATCCATTTGATTCTGATTCATAATCGAAATTCTCCTGTATTTTGTAGCTTGGATTGCAATACATTTGTGTTGAGCAATGTATAATGGCGAAAACGATTTCATATTCAGGTACAGTGCGTCGAGAATGTTGTTTAAGACAATCTTAAAAAGAAGGTAGAATTGGCCCATTTCCGTATATATATGCATATAAATTATTTTTTCTTACCTTCGATAGTACTAATGGTCTGTGAACTTTGTGACTCTGTGGATGGCACGTAATGAATAACAACGACATCTTTTCTAACCAGAAATGATTTTTGTATTCCTACATTTAAATGTTTGTTCATACCACCGGCCTTCTCCACAATTGGAGCATACGTATTAAAGTGACGAGCATTTAAAAATACAAATGTTATATCCATAAAAATACTTTTTCTTTCCTCACGATAGCTCAAGTCGAAATTCTCAGGATTTGGTGGCACATAAGATGCGGGATTAGGCAACGATCGCCGTCCACGGCGTGCAGCTTGCACCACACTACACCAGTAATCACAAGTAACAATAGGTTTCTGATCAAGTATGGCATGCAAGAGCTTGGGGGTGAGTTTAATCTCTGTTAAAGTTAAGTGCGTATATGTATCCTTCCAGCCAGTTAAAATACTACCTCCAAGAATTTGAATATATTGTTTTAATTGTTTGGCAATTTCAACAGGTAATGTTGATACCGTAATAATGGGTGTAATTTTGGAAACTAACCATATGCTCTTTAAAACACCAAAACGTATGCGATCCCCCTGTGATAGAGGAATACGTTCTTGTTTAGGTACACCAGCATTTTTCTCAATACCATCATTAAGGAAGGTACCATACTTAGAGCCAGCATCTTCAAGCTCTAGAAATTCCATGAATTTATGGTTTTCATTACCCACAGTATTATTTTGCGTTATATGTAGAAAGGCATGTGTACGACTAATGGAAGAGTCGTCGGTTATCACCAAATCTGCACCAACTCGGCCAACAGCATATTTGGCCTTTTCATTGATGACAATAAGTACATTACCTATTTAGAAAACTTGATCTAATATATGTATTTACTTTCAAGAGTCTGTTTATGAACTTACCGGTTGCAATATTTGTTAGAAGCCACATTTTGTTGTGAAACTTTTACACTTTTGCAAAAAACTATCAAACAAACATCTGTGAATGCATTTCAAATACAAAACAACTCATTTAAAACAGTAATGCCAAATCATTTTGAAAGTAGGGAAAAATTTTTATCGTGCGTGACAGCTATTTCAATAAGTTCGGTTTTTTTTTAAATGTCGAAAGAAAACTAAAGAACAATTTTTTTCGGTTTTAAAGAAAATATACAAAGAAAGCATTGGATTAAAAAATTCTATCAATCAATGTAAAGAATTCACCGGGTATCTGAAAATGTTAAAAATTTTATACTTGTATAAATATAAATAAATAATACAATTCAAGAATATTCGCATGTTTTTAAATAATTTTCAATGCTTCTTGTGATATGGATCGCAATACATCAATATTGCATGCTATACGAGGTATTTGCGATCCTAGATCGCGTTCAATATATATGTGTATTGAACTTGTAGCAGTTCCCTTTGTGCGCAAATAAATATGGGAATATCCCACATCAAAATGAAGAAAAGAAGCACTGGCTGTTTTACCGGCTGTGATAGCAGAGAAAGTGTAATTTGTTTATTATCGCAAAAGTTGTTGCAAGCCAAGTAAATTAAGAAATTGTTTTGAATTTGTTATGAAATTTTAATAGAAATACTTCAAAAAAGATGTCCTCTTTATCGGGCGTTCGAGTGAATCTCTTCAACGAGAATTTCCTCAATGAATCCGAACAAGATGCCAATTCCGTGTTGACCGAACTGGATAAAGGATTACGCTCTGCCAAGTTAGGTGTGCAGTGCGAAGCAATAGTGCGTTTTCCAAGACTGTTTGAAAAGTATCCGTTTCCAATATTAATAAATTCTTCGTTTTTAAAACTGGCAGAGTTCTTTTGGAACGGTTCAAATCTTTTGCGCTTTTGGGTATTACGTGTATGCCAACAAAGTGAAAATCATTTAGATAAAATTTTGAATATTGAAGCATTCGTTAAACGTCTATTTATGGTAATACACTCGAACGATCCCGTTGCGCGTGCCTTAACATTACGCACATTGGGCGCTGTGTCACGTGTCATACCGGAAAAACAACAAGTACATCATGCTATACGGCGCGCATTAGACAGCCATGATACTGTAGAAGTGGAAGCTGCAATATATGCGAGTGGTCAGTTTGCCGCACAATCACGTTCGTTTGCTATTTGTATGTGCGCTAAAATTTCCGACATGATTGAATCATTACAAATACCAGTACCGATGAAGTTACAACTTATACCAGTCTTAAGGCACATGCACCACGATTCGAATACATCGTCGCTGGTAAAAGATCTTTGTCTCAATTTGTTACCGAAGTACCCTGCCGAAAGCTTCGTGGTGGCTATACTTGATTCACTGACCCAACTTTCGATCCGTACATTAACCGGTGTGCCAGACCAAGTAAAATTGTTGCTGGACTTTTTGCAAGATAAACGAAAACCTGTCCGAGCGCAAGTATTGAAGTCACTCACCCAACTGGCTGATCCACAGTGTGTACATGCTTGGCCAAAAAAGGCAATGAGTGAACTTTTAGTAAAGGCACAGGGTTGTGAAGACTCACGCGAACAATACCTTTATTTAAATATACTTCTTAAACTTTGTGATTGCCCACTAACTTGTCATGCATTGTTAAACGAAGAACAAGAATCGGTGACCGAATTGTGTCTTACGTGTATTTGCTTAGATGACTATGCCACCGCCAGTCAAGCCATGTCTATCTTAGCCGCACTTCTGACTTATTCGGGCGGCGACAAACAAATCACATCCAATATTATGGAAATAGTAAATATACATATGGAAGGTTTAATTTTCTGCATGGTAGGCCAAAAAGAAAATGAATGCGAATTGAAGAAAATACTTTGTTGTGGCATTAAAATTGCCCGTGTAAACAACGAGTTCGGCACAGATTTTGTTAACATGTTGGCTGACTTAATCACTGAGGAAATAGAATATCCACCTCGGAATGCTGAAATGATGTGCGATGCGCTAGGCGCTCTTGGTTCGCATTTTCAATTGCGAAAGTTTGCAGTGAAAAGCCTAAGCACAGAGGAACCCATGGACATTGATGACGTGCAGCCATCAACATCCGCACAGGTTGCATTGTCAGTCCAAGCGAAGATTGAAGCAGCGGGCGCTGCGAATGAAGAAGCAGACAAATCGGTAGTATTAGGTGGGGAGCCAACCGTAAGTGTGTGTGTACATATGTTTTTATTACCCTAATCATAATAATGTATTTTTTTTACAGGATAATCCAGTACTAAATCGTCTGCTTTTTATTTTACATAAACTGAATGCCATTATGGATGCTGGCGCTAAAGAAGAGCAGTTGCATACAGTTGAAATTTTAGCGTCCGTTGCTCTCCAGTCTATGATTGGTTGTTTCATACCTAAACAAGTGATAGAATGCTTTGAACGTTGTTGTAGTAAAGTAAATTGTTGGAATCAATATCGCATAGCAAGATCTGCAAGCCGTTTTGGTCAACACTATCTTGCTGCACACATGTTTTCCAAAATATCACAAATAACTGTTGTGGACAAACTACATTTCTTCTTGATGGGCTTAGCACAAATGGGAAAGGCCGAGTGTATATTAAATTACGGGGTGGAGTATGAATATATGCGCGACAACTATGAGCAATGTGCGCCTTTACCGCCTAGCGTAAAATCAGAAGATAAATCGTCTAACACCTCCACTTCTGTGTTAAAACAGATGCCTCTTATGCAGCGTTTGGAATCTGCCATCAATTTGTATTGGCAAGCGCTCGCAAGTCTGCGTGCTAGTTCGTCACCAGCCAATCCACTTACCTTTCAGCTGGAGTATCTTAAGTTGCGCGCACAATTTTTACAGACACTTTATATGGCAGTTACAGTGAAAAATGCACAGATTATTGTACCACCACCGGCAATTGCAGGAAGCTTAGCGCAAAACTCTCGTGATTACTTACAGAAGTTTGGGCACGTTACCAATCAGTTGCGTAAACTGGTGAAGGCATTAAAAAGTTGTGAAGAATCATACTCACGACTCTATAAATCCGCTTTCGATGCGGACCCAGTAACATTAGAGTTTTTGGAAATAGCCGAATACCAATGTGCTTTGTTTGCACATATTGTTGAGACAATTTGTTTTGCTACGCCCTCAGATCCTCCGACATTTTTGACTAATGGCCAGTGCCCAGAAACTCGTTACTTTGCATCCTGCTGCAACCGCATGGAGCAAATGCAACGCAATTTACCACAGGAACCATCAAATGCGAAAACTATAAGTAACCGACACTTAGAAATTATTCTAAGTGAAATAGAGTTGATCACTAAAACTCCACTATGTTTACCACGTTACTTCTTCCAAGTCTTACAATCTACACAGATTAAATTATCTGTTAGTCCACAGCCACGTAGTCCTGGTGAACCAGTGCTTGTTCAATCGGGCAGTAATTTAGTAATTAAAGTAGAAGGTGTCATTCAGCACTATGGCAAAAGACGTTCCATGTATCGTAGTGTAGATGCCGTACAATTGTCACTAACATCACAACTGGTTACACCTCGTCCTGCAAGTGAAACAGCTAAATCCGCAACTTCTGATACAGTAACACTGACGCAAACAGTTAAACCGCAGCGCGACTTCTTAACTGGCAGCTTTCTTTTGCCAATTTCAAGTGGCGGGCAATGGCAGGTCACCCTTGAGACATATGTAATCGATGAGAATGGCATCACATGGTGTACGGGGCCGAAAAACTCAATGCTCGTGCGTTTGTTAGAAGATCCCGCAAAGGCGACAGCACCAACACCATCAACATCAGCGCAAGCTGGTCAGACTCGTAGATTTTAAGACTATTGTGCTAAGTTATATGTAGTTTGAATTTTACCTAAATGTGCATGAAAAACAAAAAAATACTATAGACTTACTGAAATATCGGTTACATTGAAGTTTACAGAACGTACTAATTTTTATTTAACTTGTATATCAACAACTTTAATAATTATAATAAAAAAAATTGTTCCAAATTTGGCCCCCTTATTTTTGGAAGGGATAATAATCTAAGCCAGAATTGTATTTGAACTTGCGTTTTTGTTTGCGTTTCGCTATATCTATCATTTCCTGAACATCCTTACGATAGGCCGGTGGCAACATTTCCTCATGCAGTGTGCATTGGAATTCTTCAGGTTCTTCTATTTTATATATTCGTCGTCGTACAATGTCAATGTCACGACCAAATTCCTCCATAAAATCACTTATTTTTGTTGGTGCTGCATTAAACGTTATGTTGAAATAGGTGCCATCGCGATGCACTATACCATGTTCACTGATTTTATGCGGCAACGCTCTTGTGCCTAGATTCTCTAATTTCCTAATTACGCAGCCTCTGTCTAAAAGTGTTTCGGCGGTACGCTTCAATACAGAAATAATTTCCGGCTAAACGTGAAAGAAAATAAGAATTGAATGAGCTTCCATGAATAAAAACTTTAATAAAAAAAGAACTTACTCTGGACATTTGTCGCAAAACCATTGCCAATTCATAGGAAGGCATATTGAGCTGAGTCCACAAATCGTCTAATTAGTAGAAGAGCACTGTGTTATGAAAGTGTACAAAGTGGAAAAGTAACCTCAAAGACAAAATGATTTCAGTGATGCCAATTTCAAAATTGGTCCCCAATTAATTTATGGGTAAATAGGAAAGTAAAGAAAACTGCCAAAAGGAAACGGAAAATGTAACAAAATTAATGATTGCATCAGAGAATGTAAAAAAATTTTAAATTAAATTAATTTAAAATTTGTCGTTAAAAATTTTTAAATAACTTTTAAAAAGCAACGTGAGGAAAAGGATAAAATTAATTATAAAAGATAAAATTATTTGAGACTTAATATCTTGTGTATATAACACGAAATTATAAGAGATTTTTGTGTGAGTCGGTAAACCTTGTGTGAAAGGTACGGATGCCTATCACTATGCTGTAAATTATTTCCTTACAAATACATTATTTGACTTCAAATTCATATCTTAAAATAAAATTCATATCTTAAAAATAATATAATTTGTTTAGGGTATACATATAGGGTATATTTCTTGCATTTAATTATATTTTGATTTAAAGGTCGAGCCTAAGGAAAAAATATTTGAAGATTGTTTTATAACGCTAAGTTATTTTGTCCATACTTTGTATGGGGAATATCTCAAAAATGCAATCACCAAATTCCATATGCATATAAAATTATTGCAAATACCAAAAAAAATCCTCCCAAAATATCAAATCATTATTCTAAAGCTATACATTTAATACTTACCGGTATAACATTCTTTGCTTAAATTAAAAACATTTTATAGTAACTATTTGTAATAAATTTTATTTCAACATGAATTAACAGTTCAAATCAGTATACTAATACGTATAACTGTGTGTGTTATTGTATATGATTCATAAATACTTTCTAATATATGTTTATCGGTAATTAAATGGGAGAAGACACTTTTGTTACAGTATTTTTTACAGGTGGTTCCTATCTTGCGATTTACATTTTAAAGGCATACAATTTTTCCAAAAAGTTCTTATTGTAAATAATTTAATTTTTTTTTCGAAAAATATATTTATCTTGTTTTATGCATAAGTGTAAAAGATTTACAGAGAGAGTTTCCTTTGTTGTACATATATTTATGTAGAAGAATAAATATGTTTAATATAAATGCTTAATGGCACGAACGAGGCAATTATATGTTACGTACATACATACATACATACACATGTGCCTTTGGTACAATGTATTACTTTCCCGTTTTATGCTGTATTTGTAAGTGCCGATTTAGTACAAATCAGAAAAAGTTTGTTATTAAATATAAGTATAGTGTTTAAAGTTACAAAATCAAAAATTCTTTTACAAAAAAAGTTTACAATTCTTCTTTGTAGTTTACGATAGAGCTTAGAATACGTTCAATATAAGTTTATAAAGTTAAAAAAATAAATGGAATGCAAAATTTTGAATACATTTGTTGTTTGTTGGGGTTTTGCGTCTTTTTTTATTATAAATTTGGACACTTATGGAATGCTTAAATATTAAAATGCCGCTAAATATATAACGCTGCGTGCAACCACATCCGTCCATGTAGGTACCAATGGAATTGGTTTAACCGACCGCACGCGCACACCCGCTATACTATTTACTGTGCAACAGAAATAGCATTTACATGTGCCGAGTGTTGCCAAAATTGATGCCCGACTGATTGGCACCCTTGTTGGAGCCGTACTGCAATGAGATGACATTTTGACCGGCACGCAATTGTTCTTCGGAGAAGTTGCGCACATTCTTATCGGCTTCTTTGGGACCAATTGATGGCTTGCCGAAGTTATGTGCCTGTGCAAAATAAAAATTGAAAAGCGTTTTTTTATTATACAATTTTGATAAAAGTTTAAGATTAGATTGAATGCAAATTCAGTATGGTTTTATTACCTTACGGCCTAAGGATTGCAGGCATATGACTACAGAGTTCAAGTTTTGTCGTTCCCAAAGATCAACACTCTGGAAGGTCTCCTGTGTGGGTACGCCAAAGTTTTTAGCACAGGCCAGGAAAGCTATAAGAAGAGAATACAATGGAATATATAGAAGACACTCAACAAATTATAAAGATAATTAAACTATTTTATATATGCAGTAAACGAGAGAGAGGGATATCGGTAATGATTCCTCTCGGGCCAGGAATTCTTAGGGTAGCCCGGTGCTTGGCAACAATTTTTCGCACTTTTTTCTCCAACACTTGATGGATCAGGGGGCCGTATCTTATTCCTCCGCGGACCCCGGCTCACTCTATACGGCCCTGTGTATGTATATGTATATGTATACTATATGTGAAAGAGAACAATGTATGCATATGTGCGTTTATCAATACAAACGCGCAGAAATTATTTTTTCTTTTAACTCTTTCGAGCGTGAGAATTCGATATCCCTAAGAGGTTATATTATAAACTCATTAATTTGTATGAACATTATATTTATTCGAAATCAGCAGTCGCATAATTGTTTAGCAAATTGCTTTCACTGAATAACTAAAGACACATACACATGTACAACAACAACAACAGTAAAACTAATTTTTAACACTCACCGGAAATATTCTCCATGCACTTGAAGGCCATTTTGCTTTCGTTGACTTTCTTGATTGAGCCCGGCTGCAATGAGTTGGCCAATTTGCACAATAAAACGCCATCTTTCAACACTTCAAAGAAGTTATCCATGTCACCGGCTGTGTTGATTGGTTCGTCAGTAACAATCTTGATCCATTCTAGACATTCTTGAGCCAACTCTTCGCTGTATTTTGAGTTAATCTGAAAAATGTTTCAACAGATAGCGTTACCATCAGTTAAATATATGTATATGTTTAACGGTACTTGTACAAATTAAAAATGGATAAATTTATATTTTGATTGGATCTTAAATCAAATCGCAGATTTAACCTTATTTTGATACATTTTTCGCTAATTAAATGTTAATAACGATCCTATGAATTCGATGTGCAGATCACTTGTGAGGCAAGAAAATTACTAGTATGTGCACTTAAGTACAATAATTTAAAACAATTTTCGCAATTAATTGGTGTACTAAAATGGCGAGTACCGAGAATTTGTTCACTGCTATTTCTTGTATCATTATCATTGGAAATTGCGCTTATCAATGTGATAAGATTGGCGATTGTTGCTGTATTTTCGCTTACATTGTGCAAAGCACATATTGGGGCACACCCAGAGGTAGTGCAAATACATCTGTGCAAGTATATAGTATCTATCTAAGTATATTTATTACCCTTTAACTGTACTCTACAACCAGTCCGCTCTGCTGTGTATAATTTATATTTAGATTCGATTGATCACAATCTTCTCTTCTGCCTCAAATGAATCACAACTGCTCCAAATAGGTTGTAAGTGCACATACGTATGTATGTATATGAATATATAATATATGTATATTAGTATGCTGTCCAAATATGGTGTCGGCTTAGCCAATTATGCTTTTTCATACTTTGCGAACTCTAGCATTTCTCTTAATTTTTTTTTTCACCAAAATGATTTGTGTCGACTACACCTTTTTCGGCAGTCCATATTGGAATAACCACACACATAAACGTATATATTTTCAAAAAAAGCGAGCCCGTATATGGTAAACGACCGCAACATAATTCGAGCTTGTAAAACATGCTGACATTGCAAGTCGCGTCACATATATAGTGGTGGACTTGAACATTCATGTGTGCATACATGTTAAATGCAATGAGCTTATATATATGTAAGTATATACATATACATCAATAGAAGCCAATGAAAAATTCAAATAGACCATCTACTCAACTAAAATCAATTCGATTGAGACAAAATCGATTATTTGTTTTTACTATAAATTAATTTGTTCAGCACTTCGAGAAATCGCTTTTGACGCTTGAGAACAAAGGTGGTAGGCGACAAACCATTTTTATTTACTCTCTCACTTTACTAAATATACGCATACATAAGTTTAGTAAGGTATATGCATTAATGATAATAATTATATACAACAAAGTGCATACAACTTTTCAAAATGTTGCTGAAAAGCTCAGGGAGGTTTGATGGGTCTTAAAGGTGAAATCTCACGAAACTTTAACTGGGCTACAATATTACCACTCTGTGGTTCGATCTCAGCTCTAGACCAACAAAAAAACACTGCTTTTCTGTAGAAAGGCCCCTCTTGGTACACAATGATTAAGTTCCAAGCTTATTTCTGCAATGAATCAAGTGCTCTTCATATTTTCGAAGAATATTAAGACATTGCAACAAAAAGGAGAAGCAACTCGACCAAAAAAATAACATGACTTAACATTTAAGGAAAATAAAATTTTCGTTAAAAATGTGTTATTGTTTTCAAACTGTTTTAATTATTTTGTTAAATTTATAATTTAATTTACATTAACTTTGAAGGCAATTTTATCTTAACATTTTAGTCGACTGTTATTCGATTAAAAAGCGATTCAGACATAATTCGTCAAATTTTTGTATCGTTTTTGTATCGTTTTTGTTTTATAAACAAGAAAAAACGTTATCTTCTACTTTACCGAAGCCATAATATATACCCCTCTTACAAGAGATGCATTTCTTATTATATATATTTCTTTTATCTTGTTTTTGATCGGTCAGTTTGTATGGCAGTTATATGCTATATGGGTCCGATCAGAACAACTTGTCCGGAGATTTTAGTGCTGTCTTGGACAATAATATATGCAGAATTTCTTGAAGACATCTAGTTATATAAATAAAATTTCTGTACAAGAGCTTGATTTTGATTGGTCAGTTTGTATGGCAGCTGGTGCTCCGATATCGACGATTCCGACAAATGAGCAGGGAGGAAAAGGAAATGTGAAAAATTTCAGATCGCTATCTCAAAACCCAAGGCTCTAGTTCGGGTAAATATAGAGACACTCTGTTCAGGATATAAAAATTAACAATAACAGGTTCTGATTACCGACCAAACCATTCTGTGCTGATTAAAGCAAACCAATCAAACAATTCCCGATCACGTCAGTCACGCACATCCAGCCGTGAGCTTTATTAGGGCGAATGATCTCATTGTTAAAAACAAAAACTCGTACATACCGTTGTTTAAGTAAACGCTATCGCTAATTGTAAGAAAACAAAAACAAAAATACATATTAAGTGGAACAGTACGGCACTTGATTCAGCTACCTATTTTAAAATATTAAATAGTGTATATGTATGTGTATGTATATGAAAGGGGGTGCGTGCGTAAACATGTTGATTGTGTTGTTTCTAGGTGAGACTGAGTTTCGGTGGGTTATCAATACATATAAATAACGAAACATGATTTTTAATCAGCATTTCATATCTAGACAAGGTTACTAAACGACCGAGATTTATTACTAAAAGATAATAAAGAAAAAATAAGAAAAGGAAGTTTAATCGCGGAGGCAATGTGGCAAGATAGAATCAGTGTTACCAAAAACCATAAACAAGTTTTCATTAGATGCAATTTTCACAAGCCTACGTCAGGAGAGACCATCATTCGTATTAATTACTAAATTTTTATGTTAGAATTTAGAACAGTTTATTATACACGAATAGTACCTCGACAGACGAAATGCTTTAAATTTTGTATATTATTTGTAGATAACATTTCTATTGCGAAGCATAGTCTCTTGTGTTCTGCAGTGTTTCATGCCGAACCTGCATATTTACATAGGCGCTGAAGAAGTGTGCTGAGTAACTAGAGAGATAATGCGTTCCCTTTGGGGATGCAACAAACCAATAATTTTGTTTCTTTATTTTACGATCGAGTTTCACTCGAACAATAAGCGCGATTGATCACCGATAGACTTAAATGTTTTTCCTTCCAGTTATGGAATACACATTATTCAGCTGGTTTTGGTAGAACTGTAGCGAACTCTTTCTAAGAAAATATTCTTCTGGTAACGTTGACTTGAGATAAGAGACCAATAGAAAAAATATCAAAAATTTAAATCATCATTAGATAATTTATCGCTCTATGTCAAAAGAAAAATTTATCATACCTTCGGAAGCTTAAAGAATATACCGATTGTCAAATATGTTATCCACGCTATAAATATGGAAAAACCAGCTCGGCTAAATATTATATTATATATAATATAAATTTAAAGTAAATTCTATTCTATTTAGCATCTTAACAAATATGCAATGGGCAGAAATGAAATTAAAAACTAAAAAGTCCTAAGCGTGTCGATAAATAAAAAAATACTATATTGTAGGAAAAAAAAGACAGGTTTCAAAATCGCTCATGCAAAAAAAAATTAAAATAAAACGAAGAGTTTGGAAAAAAAAACATTTTATTATTATTCAACGAATTTTGCCAAAGCCTGAGTTGTGGCTGAGCTTTAGAATTTGCTTCTGCATAATAAATGGCGACAAAGAAGGATGATTAGTGCCCGAGCTAAGCTTGGAATGTGCAAGTTCGAGTAGGAGCGGTGAATATGAAACCATATACATGTAAACATTTTTCATATGGGTATGTATGAGTAAAACAGGCAGTGGAAATTGCGTGAATGGAATCGCTTTCGCGAATGTCGATGTATGGCAAACAATAACTTTTGTCTCTGATAGTATGTCAATCATGTTTATAATTAATGTTAGAAATGGCGAAATATGCATACATACATTTACATATAATATAATATTTCCAAACACACAGAATTTTTTATTCACACACACACATACTATCATGTGCTTTCTCGTCAGTATCGGTCAGCAAAACTGCCTGACAATCTGTCTGTCTATTCAATATCTGTTGGTGGGCACAATATATTATATACTCGATAACCACAATAACTGACGCCTTTAGTTGACAGTTTTATAATAAATTTTAATTTATTAATGTAGCAAAAACCACTTGTCTTTTGCTTGCTATAAATAGTTTTCGTTATGGAGAATATGCAAATTAAGCCGTTATTTCAAAATGCTAATGAACAGTGTAAATTGAGTATGCTAGAAGAAATTATGCGGATGACGGTAGAAGACAAAGAAGAGAGAGACAGAAGAGTTTTGGCAGTTAATAGAAATTCCATTGACATAAGAATCATACTTATTTACATACATATATATATAATAAATTTATATGTGCATGTATATAATATTATATTTATATACACGCATGATGAGTATGTCAAAAATATAATGTATATACAATATAACAAATAAGCAATTTATAAATGGCAACTACAACAAAAACGTTGAATTAATGAGGTCACAGTGCTTTTATTACAAATATTGTTACTCTCTTCATGTGTGTATGTATTGAGGTTTGTATAAAAATTGAAATAAATAAAAACGATTACGCAAGTTTCGCCTGACTCGCTAAATTATAACAACTTTTGTCAGTGTGTATGTGTGTTGACAAACAGCATGTATGTATGTATGTTATATTATATGTGTATATAAACCACATACATGTTTTTCTGGAATTATTAGTATATGTACATTAGGGTGAGTCAAAAAAAAACTACTCCAAAAATGGGTTGGTTGACACCTCTAAGAAAGGCTCTCCAAGCATCAGCTCTTAATTGTAACGGGAGGGTCCTCCGCTTTACCGTTATCAATTTATTTCTTGTGATCGGATAGAAAGATTCATATCTCGCTTCCAAAATATTTCGTTTTGATTTGAATCAAATTGAATGCTTTACAAAGTGGTCTAGTACGGTTTTATTATAAACCTAACCGTATAAAAAATATTAAATATTGAAATATGACTAAGCAAGCTTTTTTCTTTTGATTTTCATAACTCAATAAAATAACATCTTCTTTTTTTAAATTCCAAAGTTGATGGTTTTGTAGAAAATTTACTGCTCTACCAAAATACTAAAAAAAAAGACCATTTTTGTAGTTTCAAGCGAAAAATAAACAATTCACTTTTTGACCCACCCTAATGTCCCTACAGCTGTAAATATTTATGTTTCATGTGATCAATTTTGACCCGGACTGACAAACACTCTATATTCCGATTCCGTGATTATTCCATTTGAACGACAAAATTTAAAGCAAACTCGTTGCTCAATTTTTTTTATACAATGGACCAGTCCAGATCAAATTTAATCAGATGGTATATTGTCTTAATATATTTTGTTTTTCAAAACATATGATTTACAAAATATCAGTTCTGGTTTTCTAAATTCAAAATAAAATTTTTGAATTACTAAAATAATAAATATACACACAAATAATATATCTACTTCATACAAATATGTGTATTCCTTATCAAGCTAATAATGTTGAAACAATTTTTTCACAACATTTGAGGGACAACATTTCAAGGCTTATGGTTAATGCTTAAGTTGCGGTTAAAAATTACATAATTTACTTCCATAATCACTTCATACATACAAGTACATATATCAACAACGGTCATTGAGGTTTCGACTAAAGTTTTACACAATATAGCTATTTTTTATCGTGTTGATACTTTTATTTATATAATGCTAAAACGAATAATATATACATATATTTTTTTTAAGTTTGTAACTAACCTTGCTAAATTGCTACATTAAAATTTTAAATTTTTTAATGAACGATCTATTATTATTAGTAAAGATATTCGATAATCAAAATCCTTGTATGAAACATTTTTTATTTAACAAGATATCTACGAAATTTGGCATATATTATTTTCTAACGCTACAATTTTGAACGAATTGTTGAAATCGGACAATAATAGCATATATCTGCCATACAAACTGACCGATGTGAAGAGTATTATAGTTTCAGTACAGCCGAAGTTAACGTTTTTTCTCTTCAGCTCTAAAAATAATTCGATAACCTTTAAACGAATTGTATTTAATATTTGTTTCTAATAAGTTTTAGTAGTGAAAAGAAAGTCTGCACCGCTAAAAATTACGTTTTCAATATCCAAATATTTGGTACATTACGATTTCGGAAGAAAATGTATAAGCCTAAGCTGGCTGTAAGCTTGCCATTAAACAAAAAGGTAAAAGAAAGTCAGAGCCGTCAAAAATCAGCCTTTAATAAAGTACGTTGCTAACCCTTTTGTTAAATATGTAAATATTTACCCAATTTTTACTCTACAATTCTATTGTACAACATACATATATGCACACACATATGCACATACACGCAACAAATCAGTATTTTTGACTCAATCGAGCGCTTGTTGACCACTTGTCAAATATGGAGTGGCGACTGCCCCAATCAAGCTAGTACCACTAGGTGATTCGAAACACAATTACATACCTGCTCTGCTAATTATTGACACCTTGCCAGACGTTTTGGTAGAAGGAAATGCAACTGTAACACGCGTTAGCGACTAATAAACGCACGCAGCCAATTACAGCCGTTGGGTTGAGTAGAACTTTTATGTGAATGAAAGTGGTATGCCCACAATTGAAGGAAGCACACGCTAGCAGAATGTTTGAAAGTGGAATGCGGCATGTAACTTTATAGCCACATACAAGTACATACATACATATATACTTTGTACACATGCGTGTTGGTGCAGCAAAGGCAAAAGCAGGCATATAGATAGTATGAGCGTGAAACCAGACAATCAAAGTCGGTTTACAAATTGAATAGATAAACAAAAGTATACATTTTGCTTTCGAAGTGGAAAATAACCACGCGGCACCACTACAAGCACACAAATATATTTTCCAAATAAACATGTTTTTACGTATAAGAATATCTAATTATGTATTATGTGTGCACATAGACCCTCACTGCCGTCGGAGACCGGCCTAATTAAATGCCTGCGATTGGTGGGCAAGACTCGTGCCTACGGTCGTATACCTCATGGCGGAATCTAACGACAATAACAACATTTGTCAGTGTTGGCGACATACGTCACTTTTAATTTATAAGCGTGGACTTTATATGCCATAAAATGGGCATGAGGTTCACAGAAATGCAGTGGTAGAAAATTAAACGATACTACTCATTTCGGAATTATTAGTGAACTGGTGGAAAATGGACGCAGATTACAATAGTTCTGACTATGACTTTTATAAATAATTATTTGCGCCAAGAGAAATTATGGGAGACATCTATAAGTGCTTGGGATCAAAAACAAAAAATACGACAAAATAAAATAAATTTTCGACGTGAGGACCATGCTTAAAAGTTAAATTTCAACTTCCTCTCAAATGAAGATAGATCGATATTTCATGGAGCCGTTCCTGGTTTGCAAATAGATGCCAGCTAGTTATTTTTATATTGGGAACTCGACATTTCTATGTTCACTGTAATGATCTTTGTCGGAAAACTTTAATGTATGTATATTTGAGAAACTCGGCGGAAGTCTCAAAATTGTAATAAAATTTTCAAGTTGAAAAAATATGATATGGAAGAAACATCGATCTCACGCATTCACACAAACATATGTATATACCTATTGAGATATTATAATACTGAGCATTATTGGTGATTCATTTCCAAACTACAAGGAAACGCACAAAACATCAATTGAATACACGCAGTGTGGTCAAATGTGTCGTAAACCTACATATGGAAGTAAATATTAAGTGCTTTATTCAATACCTGTGCTTTAGCTTCAAACAAGTTGGGAAAGTGACACACAAATAAACGCTCATTCAAAGCACAAAAGAGAAACAGTTATGTAGATAGTTGTTTTTTTAATAGAAAAACGGGTATTGTGAAGTGGATCGCCTACGTAGTAAATTTTTCGATAGTTTTTCCATTTCCCATTTCAAGAGATAAAAGTTTTCGTAGATAAATATATGTACATGCATACATATATGTACTTATGTAAATGCGTATGAGACTCTTGAAGCCGCGAGCCTATACTGTGGAGCAGGTGAAAGACTGAAGAAATTCAGCTAGTTTTATAACGCTAGCTAAAAATTATCTCCCGGTCTGATCGTTTGTTTCCAAAACGTCGTTTTTTCAAGAGATTACTACTAATTATATATATCTAATGTATGTTAGTAGGTTGAGTAGATAAAGTTATTTGAATAATGGGTGTATATCAAACTTATCTAGCTGAAATTATGAATCTCACAACGCACTTATAAAAGTAGTATATATATATCTTTTTCGTTAAAATCCATCGAAACATAGATACATACTTGCATATAACACCCACCCACATCGATAACGAATAACGTTCTATTAAACATTGAAAACACAAAAACACGGGCGGTATTGTAAACAATTTGCTCAAATGCATTTTTAATTCCAAAATTTGGAAAAAGTTAAAATTTAATTTTGAATCTAAAATTTTTTAATTAAAAAATTCGCGATCATGACCCCACTTGTAAACAAAATTCCGCAAATTACTTTGAAATTAATCTGATTTTTTTAACTGCTTTCGGAAAAATTTAGAATTAAATTTTTATTTTTATATGAAAAAGTTTGGAACAGAAAATTTTTAATTGAAAATTTTAGTATTCCCTAAATCAGAATTAAAAATTGATGAAATACTTTTAATTTAAAAATTGGAGTAATAAATAAAAAACTTAATTTTCAAATCAAAAGCTGGAGTTAAAAGGGGTAAAAAAGATAAAGAGAGAAAGGAAAGATTTACATATAATATTTCAAACTGAATCACCATAATTGAATGTAAGTAAATGAAAATAAGATAAAAAGACAAAATTTTATTAAAGATCAGCTTTTTTTTTACAAAGTTAACTAAAATGACAGTGCATGAAGTACGTAAGAGCGAAAAAATTAAACATTTCAAAATATTTTTAAATTTGAATTTATAAACTTGGGATAAACATTTTCTAATTTTTCAATCCGGTATTTAGGATTAAAATCGTCATAATAAATTTTTTATAAAATTTTTTTCTCTTCAAAATTTTATTTTTAATTTTTAAATCCCCGTTTTGTGAACATAAATTTGTAAATTATTTTAAATTAATAATTTCGGGAACACAAAAACAAAAAATTTAATTTGGATGCTAAATCAATTTTTTTTTAATGCATTATTTGCAACCCTGGTTGGCTTATAAAATAATAGTGCAATAAAATAAACGTTAAGGGCGATCTATTAGCCCTAAGTAAGGATTATACGTTAACAAGGAAAAATTATGATATCGGGTAAAACCAAAC